TTATATGATCACGGTATATCATATCTAACGCAATGTAAAATTTCTCCATGACCTAGATAAAACACAAAAACAATATAATCTAAAACTAATGGTGTGAAAACATAAATATTTATATCACATAAGTATTTATATAGATAATTCTTAAATGATTGAAGACATTAATATTATCCAAACTATCATCAAAGCATAGCTTTTAATCTTTAATTTTATAATTTTGGCTAAGCTATGTAACATTCTTCGTATGCTTTTCATTTTTATAAATGATGTGAAATAATTAACTAATATTAATAGTAATAATAATTCACAAATTAAATTAGAATAAAAGTCATTTGTTTTTTACGAGCTTGACATATTTGATTAGAGCTGACAATGAGTCAACCTGGGTTAAGTTCATGTTAAATCTATTTATTAATTGGGTTGAAAATATCAACTCAACCCAACCTGTTTATTTAAATTGGTTGATATTTTCAATCCAACCCAACCTTATAGATAAATGAGTTGTCACCATGTTGACCCATTTATATAGTTCTCGATCCAACCTATTAAATAAACGACTTAAAGTTTGGTTATTTATTTAAAATCAAAAAATTAAATATATTAACTAAAGATTATACCTTATAAATCAGTTTCAAACTTTAATAAATTTTCAAAGTATAATAAAAGCACGATCAAAATTTACAAATTTTAATAAATTGATCAAATAAAATAAAAAAAATATTTAATTTCTAAGGGATTTTGGAGAAGGGTTAGTATTTTTGGCGATAACAAAAAAGATGGGAATTAAAATTACATATTTTTAGAACACAAATAATAATAATGCAACATTTTAATTTATAAACTAATACTTTGATTAATACATGATAATATTCCAGTAAATACTGAATTAAACATATATTAAAGTAAATGATATTTTTACAAAACTCAGCTTATTTAATTAAATAGGTTGGTCCATTTAACTTAAATGAGCTGAAAATCTCAACCCAATCTTTTAATTTTAGGTTGGGCTCGGATTGGATTGATGGATTGGATCGATTTTTGTCTTCTCTATATTTGACTACTTTTCATCTTTTGTTTATCCGATAACAAGATCCCTTCAACACTCTAAATATAATAGCCTAAATGAAATTTTGGTTGGAGCCTTGCATATTATTAAAAAAATGAATCAAATTTTAAAATAACCTTATGTAAAATTTTCCAACCATTGGGGGCACTCAACCCCTCCCCCCCCCCCCCCCCCCCCCACCCCCAGGAGCGGAGCTACTATGTGGTCCGGGATATTCCAGACTACCCCTTAAACTTTCCCGTCAAATGTAAATTTAGTAATGTTTTCAAAAGTCCTTCACAAATCCATTGGAAATCCATCACAAATCCATTGGAAATCCATCACAAAGTCTGATAATTATAAATTTAGTGTAAACTCGTCGGTTTATGACAATTTGTGACAGTAACTTTCTTCGGAAACGGTTTTTCTTTCTAGATCGGCGAATCCCCCCTCCCCCCTATCCTTTGTACCTTGATCCGCCCATGATTTTGAAGTATTTAAAACTTAACCGATCATTAGGTGAGTTGATAGTTGTCCATATATAACTTTTTGTTTGGCTTGTAGTCGCATGGGTTGTAACACAAATTTATACATAAAGTTAGCTAATCATTGTTATTCAAATTGCCCTTGTAAGGTTAGCAAATGAATTATGTGAAAAGTTACTATAGTTTTATTACATACACATGCATGCACTCTATATAGCAACCAACTATTATTTCCTTGCCAATTTGGATAACAAACTATTTTTTAAATTAAGTTTCGTAACAACATTATATAGAAGGGTACCTTATCGACTTTAATGACAGATTTAACGATAAAAGTTGTGGTTGCCCGGGTTAACAAAATAGATAGTTATACTTTATATTTAGCCTTTTAGATGTTCAAGATTTATACTTCTAAAACCTAATGTTATATTTACTATTTTACCAAAAGAGGTTAAATTCATTTATTTAAAGATAGGGAGATTACTTACATTGGAACAAATTCCTTTAACTGAACTTTCTATGTATTGAAATTAATAAATACGACCATTAATTGTTTAGATGAAAAGGGCAAAAGCGTAGGTCACAGTTGGCTGTAAAGTTGTACTCCAAAATGAGATGTTTATATAAACAAGTTACGTAAGCATCAAAGGTGATGGTCTGTTTTCTTTTATAATACTAGAATGAATGCTATACAAGAATATCTTTTTATAGAACCATTTACATCCATTATAAAATGTCCGGACCGTGAAATTTTGTTAACTAATAAAATAATGCTTTATAGATGAACTATATTATCGAATCATCGAGATCCACAAATATTAATATTTGAATATATATATATATATATATATTATATATATATATATATATATATATATATATCATTAACGTGAAATATTGTACAACCAATAAAATTATATCATTCATGTTTCCTCAATTAATATCACACCCCCAAACCAGGATGACGGAAACATCCGATGGTGGGATGACTTCATGTATAATATCATAACAAGTAGGGATGTTATTCGGGTCGGAACCGAACCGAACCAAATAAACCGAAAACCGAATAAAGCAAATTGTATGAACCGAAAACCGAACCAAATAAGCAATACGGGTTCGGTTCGGGTATTATTCGGTTCGGTTCGGTTCCGGCCCGAATAACCCAAATAACATGTGCAAGATGATTAACGAGTCGAATAACCCAAATAACCCGAATATTTTGTAGTCGAATAACCCGAATAACACTTGTAGTCGAATAACCCGAATATTTTGTATTACTTTTGAAACTTATGATTTCATAAGTATATAACCCGAATAACCCGAATAACATGTACAAAATGATTTTGTAGTCGAATAACCCGAATATTTTGCATTATTTTTGTAGCTTATGATTTCATAACAAATCTTTTAAAGAAACAAATTAAACACTAAATATTAAACATCCAAAACACCCAAAAATCTATCTATAAGTATATAACCCGAATAACCCAAATAACATGTACAAGATGATTAAGGAGTTGAATAACCCGAATAACCCGAATAAATATTGTATTTTTTATGATTTTTGTAGCTTATGATTTCATAACAAACTTTTTTAAAGAAACAAATTAAACACTAAATCGACTCACGCAAGGCCGCAAGGGAAAAAAAGACTCTTCATATTCGGTTCGGTTTTTTGGACCGAATAACCCCTTATTCGGGTAACCCGGACCGAATAACCCGAAAACCGAATAAGCCTTATATAGATACCCGAAAACCGAATCGAATTGCTTATTTGGGTCTAATTCGTCGGTTCGGTTCGGTTCTCGGTTCGGTTCGGGTTTTCGGCCCAATTTCTCATCCCTAATAACAAGTATAATAATGATCAAAACAAACACAACAATCATAAATATAATCGAAAAGGTTACATGGTTTCATGAGTTACATGTTTCAAATCAATATAATGATAAAATTGATTTGTCTGACGCTATAGCATCTCATCCTCAAAAGCTTGGTAGTTACCTGTTTTAATGAATGCCTGAGAATACAAGTAATTTTGAAAGAGTGTCAACAATTAAATTGGCGAGTTCATAAGTTTTGATATGTAGATTTAAAATCATTTCTTTGTAAAAGTAGTGTTTGTTGCAGAAAATCAAATATTTTCCTTATAAAAATGAGTTGCAGTCTTAAGACCCAAATACCGAAATATACAAGTATTTTCTATACTTATGATAGTATATGCAGTTTTAAATTTAAATAAAACCGTTTAGAGTGAAAGAATCCCCGCAAACTATATGTATCGTTATTTCCCTATATGAGTTATTATAACCGTGCTAATGATATAGATGTCATGTTATGAAATTCTTCAGGCGTCGGAATGTTATGACCTTTGTCACCCCAGACCTGCCGGTCTAGCTATTGCATGCAACTTAGGTGCGAGATTTTCAGTTCCAGTATAGATATATACACAAATATCACGCTCTCCCTACAAGAGACTCTGGTTATAATACAAGGTTTGGTAGGTACACTAGTATGTACTTGAAGATTTTAGCTCACAATTTGATT